CGGGGCTGGGTGGAGAGGAGGAGGGGGGGGGCAGAGAGAAAGTGCGAGGCAGGGCACTTACTGATCCACAGGTGGATGTGGTACAGGAAAAAGCGGCCCAGCACCTGGTCAAGCGCACGGTTCACCTTGAGCCCTGCGGGGGCGCCCATCAGCCACTGCAGTAGGCGCTGGAGCTCCTCTGCCAGGTACTGCAAGGGTGTGGGGCACGCTGGGAGGCGGTGCTCAGGGTCTACACCACCCTGAGGTCTACCCCAGAGGACCGCCTAAGGCAGGGCCAAGGCTGACGGTCACCACCAACTGTCAGCACAGCAGCCTCCCAACGTGGGGGCAGTACTTCCCACACACTCCCTGCTTCCCAGACCTGGGCCACTGACATCTGGAGGTCTCGCAGTCACCCACAGGCAAGGAGGCCAACAGTCTGCCCCCACCCCAAAGGGCGTCACCCACAGGAGAGTGTCTCACCACATGGGCCCAGGCTCCCTGACAGAACCTGGCTCACCTGGAGCCCTGGAAGCCAGCAGGCCCTGGCCTGCCCCAAGTGGATGACCTCGGGTCTGCGAGGCTATCAAGTGCACCAGGGGCCTGGGCAGCTGGCAGGAGGGCCAGAGGGTCCCCCAAAGGGAAGGGCAGCATCAAGTGTCGCTGTCAAGTGGCATGGGACCCTGGCTGGGTCCTGGCCCCTGAGTGCTGTGGTGGCCCCTGTGGGCAGGCCCAAGGCCTCTACCTGCCCTACCACACAGGCCTCTCCTAACCCTACGCTAAGGCCGCAGCTATGCCAAGGCGGGTGAGAGAGCACAGCCTTCCTTATAAATAGAGTGTGGTTAATATTTAAAGGATGAGAGCTTGGCAGCAGGAAGAGACTTTCATTTTCAAATTAAATATTTATGTTTCTGAGCAATTTTGCAAAAGGGAGGCCTAGGACGAAACTGGCCAAGGGGCAGAGTGGGGATGAGTGCGCTGGCACAGCGCGAGCCTCCTTCCGCAGCCCAGAGGGAGAGAGATGCGCCCACCCTGCCCCAGGGCCCTGGTCCTGCCACGACAGGCAGGTGCATAGCTGCAGCCTGAACACCAGTGACAGAGCAGAGGCCAAGCCCACAAGGACCACCCGCCAGATCTGAGAGTGGGCTGAAGGGCCGAAGGGACCACCTGGCAGGAAGAGCAGCTCCCAGTAGAAGACACAGGGGTCTTGGCCCCAAGGAAGGGAGACGGGACGCTGGAGGAAGGACGTGGGGGTACAGACGCAGCCTGGACTTGCCAGTCAGGCGGGGAAGCGGAAGAGCAGAGACAGCAAGTGCCAGTCTGGCCAGGGATGGGAGGCCCACGCTCAGCTGCACAGAGCCCTGGGCACAGGGGTCTGCGTGGCACTGACTGCAGAGGGGCACTGGAGCCAGGGGAGAGCAGAGCTGGCCACGGGGCTGGGGCATGCAGATGCCACGCACGCCAGCAGGGAAAGGACTCCCCTAAGAGTCTCAAGCACAAGTGGCCCCCAGACCTAGCTGCCTCTGGGAAGGCACATGGCCCCAAGGGACCCGGGTCCCACACTGGGTCAGGTCTTACACACCATCTCAAAGGCCCCGTTGCTAAAGTACAACAGAAGAGAAGGTTCTGGGGGCACGCTCCACCCAACCCACTCACGTCGGCCGCAGGGACGAGGGCGTCAGCCAGCTGCCCGAGGCGGTTCTTCCCGTGGAGCCAGCACAGCAGTGCCAGGCCCAGGGCCACATCCAGAAGCACCGAGACGAGCACGTTGGCCTTCCTGCGAGGGAGGGCCAGACGGGTGCTGAGGGTGACGCAGGCTGAGGCCCGGGGACACAGCAGGGATGCCGCGGCCCACACCGCACCTCATCAGCTGGGCAGGGCTCTGGGCCGCCTGGGAGCTACAGACCAGTGTGAGGTGCTCCAGCCGGTGCCGCAGCTGCTCGCACGTGCACAGCTTGCTCCCCACGAAGGACAGTGGCCACAGCCTCAGCACCCTGAGGGAGTGGACAGGTCAGGCCAGGGCCTTCCACGGGGCCCCTGCTGGCCAGCACCCCTCCTCGTACAGAGGAAGAGCCTGGCGTGGCGGGGAGCAGGCGCCAGGTAGGCGGCAGCAGCCCGCATCCTCACCATCAGCTCACAGGACTGACTTCCCCGCCAAGCGCTGACCCCAAGCCACCCCAGCCACCAGTGACTCCAAGGCCAAGCACAAGGCCCTCCTGAGTAGGGTATGCCCTCCACCAGCCAGTGGCATGATGACCAGAAGGTGCAGTAGGGGCTCCTGGCTGGCCTGGCTTCCCGGGAGAGCTCACCTCTCCCTGGGAAAGGAAGCTGCTGGGGGAGCCTCAGGCAGGAGCAGGCCCTCGGCATCCGCCTGGGGCCCTTGCTGCAGGGCACAGCAGCCTAAGGGCAGGAGCCAGAGTGGCTGGGAGAAGGAGTTTCCCCTGGAGGACTCAAGAGCCTGGTCTCCGGGGCGGCCGAGAAAGCCCAGAGAATGTGCTGCTGGACAGACCTCCTGCCACACCAGCCAAGCAGCAGGTGCCCCATGCTGGCTGCACCAGGCCCAGGGGCTGCACTCTCCCTGCGGCCACGGCCCTGCAGCTACCCTGGGACAAGTGCCTTCTGACAGCACACGGGGTCTCGTGGTCCGGCGTGAACGCAGTGCTTATAGCCACCGCGTACTCACGGCCACTCGTGCCTGGGGACCAGCAGGCACCTGCTGCACACGAGCAGGTCTTGGTCAGGTCCTCCGAGTAGCCGGTGGTAAAGCTAAGGCCCCTCTCAATGACTGCACCTGTGCCCAGACATCCCTCTGCCTGATGAATTCCAAGGCTGCTAGGAAGACCCCCAGCAGCTCCCAACTAGGCACCCCTGGAGCTCCTGGTAAGTGGGCAAGGCTGGTGCCCAAACCTAAGTGCTAGCCCCTGAACACAAGGGAGGGCACAGCCACATGTCTGGCGACATCCCAGAACATCACTCAGATCCATCCCGGGCCTAGCCAGGTCCACAACCCAGGAGACTTCCCGGAGATGCTTCAAAGGGGCAAGGGTGGGGACCGATGGTCAAGGGCACCCATGCAGATGCTTTAGGGAGCGCTCCAGTGTCCAGAGTGGCTGGGTGGCAGGTCGGGGAGAGCAGGCCTGGGCAGGCTGCGTGCCTGTAGAACATAGACGCCTTCCAGGGCAGGGCAGACAGCAGCTGGGGGCGGGGCAAAACTTGAGCCCAGGCTCTTCACCCTGACCACTTTTCCAGGGGCCTGACCACCTCAGGTTCGCCCGCCCCTGCCTGGCGGGCCCCACCCTCTCCTGGAGGCTGCCAGGACTTCTGGCTCTACCCTAGAACCACAGGGCACCTACCAGCAGGAGCTGGCAGCCGAGAGCAGTGACAGCAGGCTAGCCAGCAGCAGGCAGACAGGCCCCGAGGCCTGCTTCGCCAGTGCCCCCAGGATGCTGGCCTCCACACCCTCCGACTGCCAGTGGCTCAGCCGCACAGGGCCCTCATCGAAGCGGTCACTACGGAAGAGCACCTCGCTGCGTGCTACGGTGTCGAACACGGCAGCCAGGCCCCCCACACTGGCCGGGGCATCTCCAGCCTGGTGGTCGGGCGGGACTGTGGGCGGGTGCAGCAGGGACAGCAGCACTTTCCGTTGATCGTAGAAGACCAGCATGACCTGGTCCTCGCCGGCATCGGGGGATGCCCGCCAGCGAGTGGCCCTGCATCTCCAGGACAAGCCTCCCTGCTCGCGGGACAGCTGCAGCCAGGGCTCATGGGAGAAGATGGCACCCAGGCCCTCCAGGAAGGGGTGCAGGCTCTCCTCCGGCTCCTGGCGATGGAGGCACCAGGTGCCCAGCACAGCCACGCCCACCCGGCTGGCCTGCTGCACCTGCGCCAGGAACGCCTTGACCTGCACGGGGACAAAGGGGAAGTGCACCACAGCCAGGACCACAGCACTGCTCTGCTCGGGGACCCAGCGACCCACCAGCAGGCCGCTGTCAGCTGAAGCGCAGCAGGTAGGGAAGAAGGCCTTGAGTGCCATGCCAGGACCCTGGAAGAGAGGGGCCGGGTCAGGGCTGCCACAGCTTCCACCAGACTGTGGCCCTAGCTGGGACCATTAAGCGCTGGATGTGGTCACAGAGCCGGTGGGGCCCTGGCCACTTGCCCCATAGGGGCAGGAGTGTTGCTCCCTCCTTCATCCCAGGCCCGAGGTCACCCCAGGTGCCAGGGCAGGCGGGCACTTCCTACCATCTCGCTACAAGCAGACTGAAAAGGGACCAGGGCGTGGGACCCACCCATACCACCATCAGAGTGGAGCTGAGCCCGGGTGCTCCCTTCTACCCTGAGGACCCCGGCTGGCGCCTTCCGTGCACACGTAGGGGCAGGGGCAGGAGCGAGCGCTGGAGAGGGTACGTGGCTGGACTGATGGCCCTGGCTCCACGCGGGGAGGCCAGGCTTGGCTGTTGTGCGCCTCCTGCCCCGACGTCCACCCTCCCGTGAGCCCCAGGAGCCCGCACAGCCCCAGGTAGGGCTGTCAGAAGTATTTCTCCAACCACACAGCAATCCAGCCCCAGGTGAAAGTTCGTGCCCTCCCAGGCAGGGTCAGCACCCAGCCTGGCCACTCATTGCACCCACGTGTCTCTCAGCAGCAGGGGTGGCCCCTAGACTCGGCAGGACTCTGCCCTCTCCCCTCACAGAGTGAGCTCGTGGGTCCTGCGGGTCCCTGGCAGGCACCTCCCGCTGCGCTGAGCCCATGGTGGGCAAGCGTCCTCATTCCTCAGCACGGCGGTGGGGACCTGGACTTGGGATGGTCAGGCCATACAGGTGGGTGCCATATTTATCATCCTTAGGCACTGACCACCCCATCTCAACTGCACTAGGGGCACGGCAGCCCCTGGGAGCAAGAAACCCCAGGTGGAAGCTCGCACCTAAGGAGGGACACAAACCCTGGACTAAGCCTGGGCCTCCAGTTCCCAGTGCCAAGGACAGGGGAGAGACAGGGACACACACATCAGGTGGTATGACACACAGGGTCCTCGCCTCAGGGAACAGCCTCACACAGACATGCGTGCCCAGGGCTTGAGGCCTCAGGCGTGGCTGCTGCCCCTGCAGGCAGGCCAGAGCAGGGCACGAGGGTACAAGCCTCTCACATCAGGGTTCTAACCGAGAAGGGTTCCTCTCGCTAAACACGGGATCCCAAATGCCCCTTCCCGTCAGGAGCTGGACTGGAGGACAGGCCACAGACACAGAGCCCCAGGGACATCGGGAGAGGGCCAGAACCATTCTGCCTGTGATGGGCCGCACACTTTGGCTATGTGACCCTCACAGGAGAGCAGCCAGCACAGTCCAAGCCTCTCAGCATCAGCTGTCAGGACACACCAGCTCAAACGGCAGGACACCGGCTGGGGAGCCATTCAGGGACCGCGGAATGGTCCTGTCCCTGGTCACGGCCAGGAAGAAGCATGGCTGGTCCAACACCAAGCATGCTGTCCAGGGCTCGTCCCACCATTCTCTCTGGGAGAGCCCGGGGCGCACACAGTCGGTGCACTCCCCGCATCACGCTGCCCTGCCGGGTTCACCTTTAAAGAAGCTCCTCTGACCTTCCTTGTGGAAGGAGACTGGGGCAGGAGTTGATATTCTCCTCTATGGGGTCAGCAGCAAGAACTCAACAAATGATGGGGCAAGTCCCCACCCCCACCAGCACCGCCCCCCGCGTGATCATGGCGCAGAGGAGCGAGCCGCTTGCCAGGCTGCAGGGGATCAGCCAGCCAGAAAGATGAAAGAGCAGGGATCGATAGCAGAGGTGCGGACCGAGAGCGCAGAGCTTCGGCAACGAGCATCTTTAAAGGCTGCGATGAAGGGGGAAAACCACCACGGGCACGGGCCTAGAAAAGCCTCCTCTGCTAAGAACAAGCCCCTCGCCAACGACCGTCGGTCGGTCGGATAAAGGTCTTCGCCCCGTGGGGAAAGTCCAACCGGCCCTCTCCGTGCGCGCGAACTGTCGGGCCGCTGGCGGCGACGCCTCCCGCAGCATCCGGGCAGGTGCCAGGGAGCGCAGGACCCCACCCGCCCGGCGCGCGCACCGCACTCTCCCGCCTGCGGGGACACGCTCCTCCGGGCCCGACCGCGGCAGTCCCGGCTCTGCCCCCCCGCC